ATTTTTGTTGACCTTTGTCCATGGAAGGTCCCTGCAAAATTTCATTGAAATTGGTTCAGGGGTTTTGGAGAAGAAGTCGAAAATGTAAATTGTTTACGGACGCACGACGGACGACGGACGACGACGGACAAAAGGCGATCGCAATAGGTCACTTGAGACTTTGTCTCAGGTGACCTAAAAATAAGAAAACAAACATCAGCTATTTAAATTTAACATGATGCTATTTATTAGTGGAGACTAGTCAGCTTGGTGGAAGTGATGATTTAGTGGAGACTACAGGATCCTCGATTCGTTTAAACACAGCCAGGTATTTATCTCCGCTATTCCTTGTGACCTTTTGACCTTCCTCAGTGCTCTCGTACAACTTCTCAACAACAATATCTGACTTCTGTTCAGAAAAGAAAAAAAAGATTGGTTACTCTCTTTTATTTACATTTTCTCTAGGTAAAAACATGCTCACTTCTGTTCAGAGAAAGAACAGTTGTTTGTTTATAGATTTACTAAGAGGTAGTCTAGACCGAGTTTCATCTGGCCCCGACTCCAGATTTAGACAAATAGATGTCTAAATATTGACGGATTTTAAAGGGCGAAAACTGACTGAAAACTGACTGAAATCAAAACTGGTAGTAATTGGCTCTTGTATCCAAACTTTCTTTATCATCACCAGGTCAACGAGGCCCATCGGGCCTGTATTACCCACCTGTTTCATTTTCAATCTGAAGTTAAAATTGAAATGTTTCAACTAACTTAAAACAATGAAATAGACCAATTTTAATATCCAATTAACCTCCACAATAACAGAACCAGTGCATGACTGTGAAAGTGTTATTCATATCAAGTTTGACTATCCTTGGCCTGAGTTGTTGAAAATGCCTCAAGCTAATTAGCGGCCAAGGGAGCTATCTTGAATTCCAAATCATCCCGAAAATTAACAAGTTGTCATATAAAGATCAAATACACTTTTTGTAATGTCAACTTATTATAACTGGAGAAAAAGGCAAAAATAATTTGAAATTATTTCCCCTATTAGGTCTGTCCCCTCAGTGCTAACACTCAAGAGAGTCAAAATATTAAATTATACAATACTGAATCCCCTTTCTCCAAGGAAATTGTTCCAAGGTCAAATTCATTCACCAAACCATGGAGGAAGTCTTTTAATAATCTATCTTTCATTTATCCCATTGGGCCCTAGAGCAACTTATTATTGTAAAATAATCTGTAGCACTGAATTCCCATGGCCCAGGCATGCTCCATGCTACAGATATTAATATCCCTTTACCTGAACTTGAAAAGAAATCCTTAAAAGTTTTACCCCCATTTCTTCTATTTTTCCCCACTTGCCTGTCCCAAGGAAGACGACAATCTTCATTTATGGATTTAATTCACTTGGCCCATAGATACTCTGGGCCAATTTAGGTGTATATCTGTTCAACCTTATACATAAAGGTGTCATTTGAAGATGGGACACTCTATTGGATTTTCCCTTTTCGACCCTGTTTGGCTCCCAGGGGAGCCATGCCCTTCCTTTATACAACTTTGAATTCCTTTGGTGCATGGATGATTGTTTTTAATTTAGGTTGAAATCCATTCTTCTTTATCTAAATTGTCTTAAGTAAATATTCACCCCTATTTTCCTTTTATGGCCCAAGGAGGGACTTTGCTTTTCATTTCTAAAAGAATTAGTTCCCTTGGCCGATGGATAATCCTTGTCAAAGCTTAGTCAAACTACTTTCAGTCTTTGTAAAAGAAAAGTTGATGCCAGATGGATAGCAGACAGTCTTTATGCCATGGCATTAGAGGGCTAGGTCAGCTAAAAATTAGTTCATAATTTAAAATCTCTTACCATGTCCTCATCACAGATTCGCTCAAACAGCGGAAAGTCATCGAAATGCTGTACCATCCAATCATGCAGATCCTTTACATCAGTGATAGTATACACAATACCCTGAAACACACAGAGTCTTTAATCTAAGGTTGGAAATGTATCTATTTAACATGTATGATGGTATCCTTTACATCAGTGATAGTATACACAATACCCTGAAACACACAGAGGCTTTAATCTAAGGTTGGAAATGTATCTATTTGACATGTATGATGGTATCCTTTACATCAGTGATAGTATACACAATACCCTGAAACACACAGAGTCTTTAATCTAAGGTTGGAAATGTATCTATTTAACATGTATGATGGTATCCAACACAGTTCTGTTCAAACATATTCCACTATGCACTGTAGCATTTTGTCATTTCTGTGGTCTCAATCAGTTCAAAATACATTTTAAACAAATAGGCGATGTCAATAGAAAACCATTCGGGAATTTCGTCATAATTTGATTATAACATCAGGTCATGATTGGTCGTCGATTTCTCATTTAGACAACAACAGATAAATAATACATCAGGGTGTGACCTACTTACTCCAATACTCAGGACGTAGGCATACTCCGCTAAAAGAGTCTGACTTATGATCCGCCATTTATGTTTAGTTTTCTTGAAGTGAGGGTCAGGAAACAGAAAAAACATTTTTGTGAGCTGAAATTAAAACAATACACAAATTCAATTTAAATCACACAATCATGTAATCATTTGAATTTTCTTACCAGAATATACACATGTACATGTGTTTGTAGACTAGGACATCTTAAGAATATGTTTCTAAACAATGTATGTGTCATTCAAACTAAAGGCTTCTGTACTGTATTAAAGTAATAGTGATGTCTTTATAAGGTTTTATGTCACATGTGCAATAATGAAAACTTCAGTCACTAGGTATTTTTTAAAAAGTTTTTTCCAATTTATGTTAATCACTCTTATTGGCCCATATGCAAGAGCACAAAAACGTCTTAATGTGGTAGGACACACGACTACCTGGAGAAAGCCCACATAGTTGTGCTGGTGACCCAGAACCTTTCACATTCGAATTTGGAATTGCTTCCTGTCCGTCTTGGTGAAAGGCGAGTGTTCTATCCACTGTGCCAACCAACCACATATTGTTTATCTACTATAATGTTGTCATTAGTCATTTTATAGATAATTACTATCAAAGAACTGTAGAACTGATAGTAGCCAAGAGTTTGTAGGTAAAGAGGTTAATAAAATTAAGCACTTGTTTGTAGAGGCTGGATTAACAAAGATTTACTGTTTATTAACAGTTAATCAACTTACCTGACCCTTCTGGAAAAAATTTGGCAAAAATTTCATGGCATTTGTTCTGATGCAAGCAATATTCTGGTATTTTCCTGGACTGTTTTCCCTCAAAGCTTTGATTCTATCCTTTACATAGTCTGACACTTTCACTCGAATCTCCATTCCTAACATCAAGGAGTCAGGAAATATGGGGGATAACTGGACTGTTAAAATTAAACAGAAAATAGGAGGAATTACATTTCATCAAATCACATCTACAAAGACGGAATTTTCAAGTGGATCAAATAGCAAGTTAATCTATAAATATAATTTCTATGAGTGACTCGAAAAAGTGTGTCAAATTATATCCCCCGATACTGATAGATACTTTGGAATGAAATACTTTTTGTTAATACAGAATGATAACACTGTAATAAAGGAGGGGAGATAACTCCCACTTATAAACAAACTGGAGATAAACAGCAAAAAGTCCATGTGTTAAAAAAAAGGGAGATAACTGGACGGTTGAAATTAGGGCAATATCGGTAATCACTGCTCAAATGATTTGGATTTAAGTCCCTCTAGATATGATATTACCCAACAAGCCTCCGTATCCACATCCAATGTCTGCAAATTCAACTCGGGGTAGTCTCCCTTTATCAGATGTTTCCATATCATTTTCTTCATCATCATGTTTAGTGTTTGGAAGAGGCTTACAAAACTCTGGATAATACTCTGACCAATCCATGGTGTCTGGTCTGATGGGGCTACAAAATACAAATCACAAAGATCTTCCACATCTGTGAAATCCCTCCATTACACAAATAATTTGAATTATATATACCAGCTTACAATAAATTCTGTTGGCATCATATTTCATAGTGGTGACAATACAAAACATAAACATCAAATATAGATATGTTTACCATTTTCCTTATGTACAATACACAGATATCAATGCAAAGGGATAAGATTAAAAATAATTGGGTTTGTCTACTTTTCCTTGAGGTGTCAGCAGAATTCATGTATATGATCATGACCTATTTAAAATATTCTACTCTAGAATCTGCTTGTTTAGACTGGGCTTAAATTCCTTATTGATATTTTTGTCTGGTAGTCTGTTTCAGTCCTTTACAAAATGCTGGTAAAAAGAATATATCTGTAAACATCCATTTTAAATTGGTGTGTTGCCTCATGTACCCGGTAGTTAAGCTTTCCCATGTCGTGAAGTTCCCTGAAATGTCACATCTATTTGTCAGTAAATACCTAGTTTAGTCAGTAATCCTGGGCTTCTGTGCGTACTTATTCCAGCAGATGAAATTCTGAATAAGGAATTTTAAAGTGGGAAAAATCACCCCTTTCCTAGACTAGTATTGGGTTTGGTTTGTTTGTGGTTTACATCCTATTAACAGCTATGGTCGGGAAGGGGTCATTTAAACAGACCTAAAAAGTACCCCGATTACTTTAAATCCCTTCAGATTATTGCAGAGATATCTGATGTCCTTGATCATGAGGTATTGTCAATATTAAGCAAGGGTTTATCTAGGATGTAGGGGAAACTAACTTTTGAAGAAAAATGTAAAGTATAGCATCAAAAATCAAAGAAATATATTAAATATTTCATTAAGTTTAAACAAAACCTAGGGAATTTGTGAACAAGTTACTAAAATTTAGGGGAAAATAAGGACAAATTTTCTTAGGGGAAACTTCCCATTACCGGTAGAAAAAAGGCCTAGATAAACCTGTTAATTAATGTAACAGGAGAGGAAAAATGCACGGCCAGACCAGGGTTCGAACCCGGAACCATCCGAACTCAAGACGGACTCTAGCAATTGAGCCGCCAACGATCGACCCAGTCCAGTTCCGCAATCCTGGTTATCTCTCCTACTAAAGCCCTTTGCTGTCATTTTTATCTGCTTCTTCAACTGCCTTCACTGCTAAGATCCATCTCCTCTAATCACAGGGGTTCGTTGCAAATGTTTCATACGCATATGCTGTACTGATATGGGTCACAGCACACAGGTATGTTTATGCGGTCTGTGACTCATATAAGCAGATACGTATAGCATTAATATTATTAGACGTTCGTAACGAACCACTGTGCAATCAAGTAAGGTCAGTATGCAGGTATGTTCCACTAGTAATGTACAATTTCTTTTTAATAAGCCTTGCTCCTATCATAACCAACTAGGGAGGTCAATGTATTTTGAAGCTCAATGGGCTGGATCAACATCCGCAAACCTCTGTGAGAATCCCTCCCCTCTTTTCCCCGGAAAGGAAACATCACTGCATCTGACGGACTTACTAATCAACTATGTGGTCTGACATTGGGTTGGAATGCGCCCTCTGTCTGTAATATTTCTTTTGTGGCAGTCTGATCTCCATATTTTTGGCCATTCGGCTTCGTGTACACAAAGCAGTTGAAAAACAAGTAGGTGACGTTCAGACACGTGTTTTCCTCCAGTTATTTACCCGGAAGTTACTTTTGTTTAACTTCCGGTTTTAGTACTCTTTAACACGATTGATATTATTTTTACGATGATTATTCACACAGTGTCTCTCATTAGATTGAGTATTTATGTAATCATCCATAAGTACCAATGTTGACAACGGTGCTAAATTGAATTTGCTAGCTCTGTGCTCTTTCAAACGACGCGATAAATTGTGTTAGAGACTAAATATGTGACATGTCACCAACCACAACTTCCTCTGGATTCTGGCTTCATTTGATCGTTTGATATGGCATCATGTTCCAAAGGTAGCAAACTGTTGACTGCTTTAATTTTAATTAATGCACGTTAAATAATTAATTATCCGGTTGTCGTCGAACAAAAATGATTAGTATTACCTGTCTGCAGACGTCTAGTCCGTCTACATGTATACTGATATTTTATCCCCCGAGACTAGACCCCATATCGTAGCATATCAATTTACAACTGCCATACTACTGTTAGCATGCTATAATCTTTGAATGGTAACAAAAGCTGTCTTTTGTGAACAGGAAAAATCAGTGTAACTGTTTACTGTTAAGCAAAGTATGGTTTTCGGAGCGTTGACAGTGTTCAAAGAAAGACAACTCGGTTACGCTTATAAAAATTCTTAAATGTGTGACTATCGTTATTCATTTTAGTATACGTCGAATGCAATATCCTGCTTGAAAATGCTCGATTTTGAGTACTTCCTTTTCACAGGGGCCTGTGCCTATTGATTTCTGGCAAAATATCACCCCACAAAAAATAATGATTTTGGGAAATAAAGTGATTTTTTGCATTGATTTGGGGAAAAAACCCAGCCAAAATTATCTGGGGGAAGGCAAGAACTTAAAAGCTTCAAGACAGCACTACAAACTGAAACATTATAAATAAAAGCGCACTCCTCCAACCCTGGAATTTATACTCAAATTTGAGGTCTTCCAGTAATATACAGATACAGATAGAAGGCCCCGAATTAACCTTGAAAAAATCACTGTTGGATTGTTAATTTATTTAAAAGCAATATTATCGTCTCGACAGAGGTTTTCGTAAGTGTGCCCTACAAAGTACATACTTGCCAACTTTTTGAAATTTCCATGGGGAGATTGCATGTTCTCAGATTTGAAAACATAAGTTAAATGTGTGCAAATACCCAAACTTTCTAGGGAAAAATAGCACTTTTATAGGCATCTTTTGAGCTGTTCTTTCAGATGAAATAGGAATTGTTAAGCAATTCACTGTTTAAAAATTCTCAGGCATTATAGTGTAGCGGAACTGGACTGGGTCTCTCGTCGGCGACCAGATACATGTAGCTCAATTGGTAGAGCATCCGTCTAGAGTTCGGAGGGTCCCAGGTTCGAACCACGGGTCTGGCCGTGCATTTTTCCTCTCCTGTTACATTTGGCGCCCCAACGAAATATACCCACAGAAGGTGGTATAGGGTCTCGTGTGTCTCCGGGGTCGAAGACTCTGTTAAAGGAGGGAGGAATGTAGCGGAACTGGACTGGGTCCAATCTTCGGCGACCAGATAGTTCAGTTGGTAGAGCATCCGTCTAGAGTTCGGAGGGTCCCGGGTTGGAACCCCGGTCTGGCCTAGCATTTTTCCTCTCCTGTTACAATAGTGCAAAAAAATTGCTTTACTCTTTATAAAGCAAGTGAAATAGTCTTCACTGATATTTTTCCACCAGACTTTGATGTGGAAAAATATGATGAGGAGATATGGCTTTATTTGCATATGGTAGCTAGGCTCCTATTCATGTCTTCGACAGACTACAAAATGGATAATGGGTTGGGAATGAAATTGTTTTGGTTTTTTTCTAAATGAGTTAGAATTTCTTAGGTTTCTAGACAAAATTCTGATATTTTATAGTCATTGTACAGATGATGTACACACACCAAAACATTTCAACATGCAAGGTCATGGAGGTCACTTGGTGATGTAATACAGGTTAAAAATGGCTGCATTGAAACACTTAGTTCAATGGTACTGTTACTGTCTGTTAGTCAAACTGCCTCTGTGGGGAGGATTTAACCACACAAATCAGAAATGTGTCCCTGTGAATAAGTTGAAGTGCTGGGAATGTTCTATACATACATTTCCATGGTTACAACTGTAAGCGCTGGCAAATCTTTAATGTACCATACACTGTACATGTTTAATGGACAAATTTGGCTATCGTGTCCTTTATATGACTTAATAGCCAAATTTGTCTATGTGGCTATATTTGCCATCTTTCTAGTACCTGATATTTCCACATGCACAGTTTAATAATAGGCAATTATAATAGGCTACAAAAGCTTTTCGTAGGAAAGCAAATAAGTTTGTTAAGTACATATCAGAAGACAAGGTACAATTGTATAACACATGCATTACAATCAAGGTCTGGCGTGGGTTAAAGTACTCCAATCTGTAGAACACTTTTAAAGGTGTTGTTTATCTGTATTGTAACCAACTTTTGCTTAACATTTACTAATTTCTCACTTTGATACTATTTAAAGGGTAACATGGACAAAAGACGAGCAATCCACCTACTGAATCAACAGTGATCCTAAAAGAACATCTGAGGAAGGGAAGATAACCAAGACTAAAAGATGATTGCGATTACCTACATCACATTCTTTGTAATGCTGTGCCTATGTGGAGGGTTTCAGTTTTTGGCTTACCAAAGGAGAAAAGATTTCTCTGAGGGGAACAATCCACAGTTCCTGAAATTCCAGCGTGGTTACTTTGCTGCGTACCTGATGGCAGTGTTTGCTGATTGGCTGCAAGGTCCTTACCTGTATAAACTGTACTCCTACTATGGGTACCAAGAGGCACAGATAGCCACTCTCTATGCTGTCGGATTTGCTTCAACTATTATTCTTGGTACATGGACTCCAATTGCTGCCGATCAATTTGGGCGCAAAAAACTGTGTCTGCTGTTCACAGTTCTCTACTCAGTTTCGTGTCTTATGAAGCTATCTACAAGTTATGGTATCTTATTAATTGGTAGAGTTATAGGAGGTATTGCTACCTCAGTGTTATTTTCTGCTTTTGAAGCCTGGTACATTCATGAACATTTAGAAACACACGACTTTCCAAAAGAGTGGATTTCTGTTACATTTGCAAAAGCTTCTTCTTGGAATGGTGTTTTGGCAGTACTAGCGGGAGTGTCGTCCAACTTGGTGTCGGAAGGATTTGGGATGGGTCCAGTTGCTCCTTATATGCTTGCCATTCCCTTCCTTATTTTCTCTGGAATAATCGTATCAACTCACTGGACAGAAAACTACAGTGGTAATAAAATAAAATTTAAAAAATTATGTGGAGAAGGTTTTAAAATGATCGTGACAAAGGAAGAAATCTTTATGCTTGGAGCTATTGAGGCACTTTTTGAAAGCGTGATTTACATCGTGATTTTCCTTTGGACGCCAATCCTACAGACTGGCAATCCTTCTCTTGGAATCGTGTTTTCAAGTTTCATGGCAAGTATATTAGTAGGGCAGGGATTTTTCAATGTTGTGTCGACATCAAGACGATTCCAGCCGTCTGTTTTACTCATGTTATCAATTGTTATGGCAGTGATAGCGAACGTTATTCTCATCATATCCACTCATCCAGAGAAAAGGGACGAATCACTCTCTTTCTCTGCGCTAACTTTATTTGAGGTTGCAGTAGGAATATATTTTCCAGCGATGGGATATCTCCGGAGTCGAATAATTCCGGATACGCATCGTTGGGGCGTGATTAACTGGTTCCGTGTGCCTATCAACCTGATTGCTTGTGTGATATTGATGCTTCTACATGAGGACGTGTTTCAGCATGGCAACAGAATGATCTTTGTACTCTGCCTTCTCCTCCTCCTCCTTGCCGTCGCCAGCGGGGGAAGATTTCTGAAGGTCACCAAAGATGACGAAAGGTTGAAACAGGAAGCAGCATGGCTAGAGAGTGACCACATACATAACATTTTCTGAATATTATTTCAAAAACTATTGTGTAAATGCTGGAAGATTGAAAATTCAGCTACAATCTGTAAAGTTATAAAAGACATACAGCTGGGATATACAATTTTTAATTTTGAGCCTGCAGACAGATTTGTGAGAATTTCACTAAATATTATAATCGCCTTCCGTCCGTCGTCGTGCGTAAACTTTTTACATTTTCAACTTCTTCTCAAGAACCAGTGGATGGATTTTTTTCAAACTTGGTCAGAATCAACCTTGGTAGATGAGGCTACAAAATTCCTACCCCCACCCCTGGGGCCAGGGAGGGGCCCCAAAGGGAAAATTAACCAATATTTCAAAAATCTTCTTCTCCAGACTCAGAGGTACTACAGTCATTTTCTCTGCATGGAAAGAAAGAACATCAGGGGCTTTATTTAACTTGTACATTTCAGGACCCCTGAGCTATCCGTTCTCCCTTGGAGAGGGGGTAAAGTTTACTATAGTTTATATAGGGAAATAACACTTGTAGGTATATTTTAACAACTTTCTGTAGGAAATTATTTTTACTTGGTGAGAATCATCTTTGGTGAATGAGGGTATTACATTGTAAAATTGGGATTCCTGTCCCATCCCAAGGGGCTAGGGCGGGGCCCCAAAGGGAACGTTTACCAATATTTTCCAATTCTTATCCTTTGATGACATGACAAGTATTGTATTTCGCTTAGTTTAAATGCTGATTTCCACATCACATCTACACAATAAAATAAAGCTGCCGGTACCTATGATATATCTCAGGTGACCACTAAGGGCTTGGGCTTCTTGGTGAGTTTTTTTCCCCAGTTTTGTTATAAAATATACTGGCCCTATATGTCATTGTGCAATTGTACTCACCAGGACACAATGTACAAAATGTTCTTTGATCTATCTATTATTTTTCTGTTACTGTGGTATGTTGTCTGTTAAATTGTTTATATTGAAATATGTTGTGCATCTATGACAATTTTGTGGTTCATACTCATAGTGTTCATAGTGTACCTGTGGGATTTTAGGAATGATTGAAATGAATGTCTAGCTAGCTTTTGAAACTTGTGGTATATGAATTGCTAATTTTGTGTTTGCAAGTAAAGAGGAAATTGATTCATTGGTTCATTAGCGCACATGTGATCAGAATTGTTTTGCATGCATCTGGAAAAACATCTGAAAACTTACTTCAAATAGCTTCTAAATCAAGTTTGGAATTATACTAAAAATGAAAGTTCTCCATATATGAGGTATGAATGGATACAATATACTTACATACTTACCTGGAATGGCCTTGACTATGCTAATAATAATATACAACGTTTGTATAGTGCTCTATATAATGTGCAAAATTACTCGAAGGCACATGAATACAGTGACAGTTATATATAAATATTATAAATAGAAAGTGGCATACAAATCAGCATTTTCCATCAGGTAAAAAGACATTTATCGCCATATGGATATCATAATGTGTATGCAAAAGAAGCCTAAAATGCAGATGTGAAAAGTTATATCCTTGAATTTAGCTAGAATTTTTGACATCCCAGTAGCAGATGGTAAGCTATTTCAAAGCACTAGTTTCCACGGGTCACAGTTTGAGATACAACAATGATTCTGTCTGTGAAAATAAAGGTTTTGCATCCATGGCAGATAAATCTGGGAAAATTCCAGTGTCATTTCATATGGAATTCACTTTTTATTCACTATTGCTTGTTTTGCTCTCTTTTTTTCTGAAGTATTTTTATTTCGCTCAAATTGTGTTTGTAAATAGTCTCTGTACAATATTTGAGTGTATTATACTACTTTGAAAACATTTTTCTTCATACAAGAATTTAATTTCTTAATTTGAAATTTATTCATGTATTTAATAGTTAATACCAGGTAGCTCCCAACTGGTGACAGCCCCTAGGCAGGACCCAAATCTGATCACTCTTTGCAAAAATACTTTTAAATCCATAGATATGGCAACAGTTATTACAATAGTGTGTTTCATAAAACAGTTATAAAAAAAAAATTGTCTAAGAAATGATAAATTTTTAAGTTAAAAAAGCATCAAAAGACACATTTCAAACTCAAAATCTATTTTTTTGTTTACATTGTTAAAAAATGGCATGTGCATGGACTTTGTATTTTGTTTCGGACTGTAGGAATAAATTAGACGATAGAAATACTTGTATTCATGCAAATTCCAAAGATCATTATAAAATGTTAAAATGCTGACAATGAAATGTTCATTTATTTGAAGTGCAAAATATTACAAAGGGTGTAGATAAGATATATGTATGTAATATGGAAGTGATGGATCTCGAAGGTGATTCTACCCCTTATGGTTAACTGTCAACTGTGATGCTCTTTACTGCCAGCTGTAATGATGAGGGTGGTCATGTGCCACAGTTGATTAATAGAATCTTCCCCAACCTTGAGGGGGTGACCCTCTGGGTGATTGTTTTGGTTGTCTAACCCTCGGCAGAGCCTCCAGTTGGACAACCAAAAAACATCACCCCTCGGGTTTGAGATTTCTCTGTCACACCCTCAAGGTAGGGGATGATTGTTTTTCTCCCATTCTATTATTTCAGTCACAACTCCACCGACAGTAGTGCAAACAAAAACACATGACACATTTTAATGACGTCACAATTGAACACGTGCTAATCGGCACAAGGCTATCTCCCCCTAGGGTGTGACAAGCTGATCTTTCCCGGCATAAACAGGAGACACACCTGTGAAGGGTGGGAGCAAAATGGACTCCCCTCTCACCAAGGTGTCCAGTGTTTGATTCCCCGATTGAACGTGAACAAGTATGTGGTCACCTGCCCAACCATGTGGGTTTTCTCTGGGTACTCCGCTTTCCTTCCACACACTTCAATCCAGGCCAACAAAAGTGATTAATATAAATTAGAACACTTATTTCATAATTGTTGTTGAATATATAAAGTATATATTTATATTTTTTAAGGATGAAATATAAGAGGTACTGGTTATTGTACTGCCAACAGAGTCTGAGAGTGCTGTTTGAAAGTTTTGATTGTGATCTTTATGGATTTTTGTATAAGCTATAATGAGTTGGTAAATCATACTGGTACAGATAGAATGTTTAATGCAGTTAGTATGAATACATAAATTTTCACTTATCTGTGTATATAAAGGTATCAGGAAATTCTTCTAGAGACCAACTTTGGTCTACATCTTTCATTTACCGTAAACATACAATATCAAATTTTAACTTATTAGTAGCAACTTGATAATTGGTACACCTACAGCGTAGTAAGTAACCAAAACTATATACATGAACTTCAGTTAGCGCAATCACCATTTAGTACAATAAAGTGCTAAACTGAGATCACCACTATAATATTTATCTTTAAAGCTTCACCTGGAAGTCTGAGTATTTTGTGGGAAGGTATATGCATTTCATTTATTGCATTAAATATGTATTTGTAGTTTTGCATCAGCTTACTATTATTTATGGATAGTACATTCATGTATTTAATTGACATTTAAGAATGTAACCCTGACAACTTTATGAGCAAAAGAACATTATATTACCTGCTATAAAATAAATTGGAATTATTTCAAAGCTGCAATCAGTTTTCATAAGTTTCCTAAATGGGCCCCTTGCACAACATATAGTATTTAAGTATTATATGACTAGGTCTGAATTATTGAATGAAGAGGAGAAATAACTCAATATCAATGCAAAGCGTATTCAACTCTATATTGAATGTTTTGACATCTATACAATTTTATCTTGCCTTAATAAAGAAAAATAACAATTAGAAAATATTTCATTGGTATTGTTTTCCATGCTCTTAAACATGTGCATATTGTAAGTTGCCATTGTTATTCTGCATCAAGTCTGAAAAGGAAAACAACTGGCCCATGGGCTTTAACGGTCACCTGAGTCCTACAGTATTTATTTTTGTTGTTGAAATATGTACCAATTTGAGTAAAAAATAGTTAAGTATAACGTTAACTTAAGTTTGTCAGGACCATGAGCGTGAAATAGTTTTTCAAAATGGCGGCCATATTGGATGTCTGATCGACAGGAAAAATAACAACACTTTGTCAGGACCATGAATCGTTTATTCCTACCAAGTTTCAGTTAAATCTGTCCAGTAGAACTTGACTTTAAGTTTGAAATAGTTTTTCAACATATTGGATTTCTGATCAACCGGAAAAAATACAACACTTTGTCAGAACCATGAGTCGATCATTCCTACCAAGTTTCAGTTTAATCGGCCCAGCAGAACTTGACTTCAGTTTGGAATAGTTTTCAAAATGGCGATATTGGTGGCCATATTGGATTTCTGATCGACCACAAAAAACCCCACCACTTTGTCAGGACCATTCTAATCGACCACAAAAAAAACCACCACTTTGTCAGGACCATGAGTCGATCATTCCTATCAAGTTTCAGTTCAATCAGCTCGGCAGAACTTGACTTTATGTTTGAGAAATAGTTTTTAGCCCACCATCATCTGATGGTGGGCTATTCAAATCACCCTGCGTCTGTGGTCCGTCGTCTGTCCGTGGTCCGTCGTCTGCCGTCTGCCGTCCGTCGTCCGTCTTTAAACATTTCTTGTTATCGGTATTTCTGAAGAGGTACAAGAGGGATCTTTCTCAAATTTTATATGTAGGTTCCCCTTGGTCCTTAGCTGTGCAGGGTAACTTTTGAGACTGATCGGATTAACAACATGGCCAACAGGCAGCCATCTTCGATTTTGATAGTGAAAGTTTATCGCTATTTCTTGGGAAGTATCAAAAGGATCTTTCTCAAATTTTATATGCAGGTTCCCCATGGTCCTAAGCTGTGCATGGTAGTTTTTGAGAGTGATCGGATAAACAACATGGTCGACAGGCAGCCATCTTTGATTTTGATATAGAAAGTTTGTTATCGCTATTTCTCGGGAAGTATCAGAGGGATCTTTCTCAAATTTTATATGTAGGTTCCCCTTGGTCCTAAGCTGTGCAGGGCAACTTTTGAGACTGATCGGATAAACAACATGGCCGACAGTCAGCCATCTTGGATTTTGATAGTGAAAGTTTGTTATCACTATTTCTCGGGAAGTACGGGAGGGATCTTTCTCAAATTTTTTATGTAGGTTCCCCTTGGTCCTAGCTGTGCAGGGCAATTTTAGAGACTGATCGCATAAACAACATGGCCGACAGGCAGCCATCTTGGATTTTGATAGTGAAAGTTTGTTATCGCTATTTCTCGGAAAGAACGGGAGGGATCTTTCTCAATTTTTTTATGTAGGTTCCCCTTGATCTCTCGTTGTGCATGTTATATTTTGAGACTGATCATAAAAACAAAATGGCTAAAAGGAAGAACTGAACAGATCTTTGTCATATTGCAATGATCGATTCTATTTTTTTCACTTAATTTAAGTACTGTACTAGTAAATATGTGAAATGACAAACTCACTTTGAAGGTTAGCTTTCATACACATCAGTATTAAGTTTAGATCAAAAGTTACCTCAAGGTACATTTACTGTTTACATGACTCGATCAAACAGATGAGAGGAAAGAAGAGAAAAGATCGAACTGTCAAAAGAACTAATGAAGATAGTACAAAGGTGGGCGCCAAGATCCCTCTGGGATCTCTTGTTCAAAATGGCGGCTGTTGCGGCCATATTTGATTTCTGATCGACCTGAAAAATAACAACACTTAGGTCAGGGAGATGTCAGTAACATTCCCATGAAGAATCAATGAAATCCCTTTGCCAGTATTTCAGCTTAAGTTGAAAATGTAAAATGTTAACGGACGGCGGACCATGGACGAAGACGGATAGCAGTAGGTCACTTGAGCTAAAGCTTATTTAATAGAATACACTCTAATAGTAACAGGCACTACTACACAACTTGATGGAGTAACTTTGGGATAAAATCCCTATGGTAGGAGAAGGATTTCGAAGGTTTTACCTCTATTTGCCCTGGGGGCCACACCTACCATTTATACAAAATTGAGTCTCCTTGGCCCAAGGATCCTCCAGACCGAATTGGGATTAAATCCCTTAATCCCTATGGTAGAAGAAGGATTTTAAAGGTTTACTTCTATTTCCCATATTCGAACCTACTCTTCTGCCCCCACCCACTACTTATATAGAATGGAGTCCCCTTGGCCCAAGGATGCTTCAGACTAAATAAGGATAAAATCCCTTTATCTGTACGGTAGAAGGATTTAAAAGTTTGACCTTTTTTTTCACCTTTTGAGCTCTGCCCCCAGGGGGGCCATATCCACTGTTTATACAAAACAGTCCCCTTGGCCCAAGGATGCTTCAGACTAAATAAGGATAAAATTCCTTTATCCCTATGCTAGAAGAATGATTAAAAAGTTTTACCTTTATTTCCCCTATTGGGCCCTCAGGCTCACTCAACAGCTCCTCTGCCCAAAGGGGGGCCACATCCACCCTTTATGCAAAATTGAGTGCCCTTGGCCTAAGGATGCTCCAGACCAAATTGGTATAAAATCCCTCATTCCCTATTGTAGAAGAAGGATTTTAAAAGTTTACCTCTATTTTCCCTGTTCGGGCCCACCCCTCTGCCTCAAAGAGGGCCACACCCACCATTTATACAAAATTGAGTCCCCTTGGCCCAAGGATGCTTCAGACCAAATTAGAAGAAAATCCCTTCAATCCCTATGTTAGAAGGATTTTAAAGGTTTTAGTAAATCCCGTAGGGATTAAGGGATTTTATTCTAATTTAGTCTGGAGCATCCTTAGGCCAAGGGTTCACAATTTCTTATAAATAGTTGGTGTGGCCCCCCCATGGGGACAGGAGTGGGGCCTAAAAGGGGAAATAGAGGTAAATGTTTAAAATCCTTCTTCTACCATAGGGATGAAGGGATTTTATCCTAATTTAATCTGGAGCATCCTTGGGCCAAGGGGACCTAATTTTGTATAAACGGTGGGCGAGGCCCCCCTGGGGTCAGAGAGGCGAGGCCCAATAGGGGAAATAGAGGTTATACCTTTAAAATCCTTCTCCTACCATAGGGATTAAGGGATTTAATCCCAATTTGGTCAGGAGCATCCTTAGGCCAAAGAGACTCAATTTTGTATTAATGATGGGTGATTGGCTCAATAAGGGAAATAGAGGAAAGATTTTGTGTAAATGGAGGGTGTGGCCCCTCTGGGTGCCTAGTTATGGGGCCCAAAAGGGGAATTTGAGGTTTGAATATTTAAAATCCTTCTTCTTCAGTATCATTGGAGGGAATTTTTGTAATAAGAATAATTTCCCATGGTTGCTTTATTATCCAGGTGAGCGATACAGGCCCTCTGGGCCTCTTGTTACAAACCTGATGGCCCATCATTCTTACCACAGGTCCTTTTTTATCCTAAGCCTCTTGGCTATTCAGGAGAGGTCCTTTAAAATTTGTAATTCATTTGACCCCTGTGACCTTAAAAGAGGGTCAACGTTATTCATTTCAACAAACTTGATTGCAAAAGCTTGATACTTATCACAGGTTGCTAGTTTTTTACTGAGCACTCCATAAAACACCAACGAAAAGTTGGCATGTCCTAAAATGAATGTAGCTGTTAGGAGGCAATACCCAAACAAACAAACGTTTTGTTAAAGGCTCCTAGTGAATGTTGTGAAAGGTTGGATGGTCAATTTTTAGCTCACCTGCCCTTCAGTCAGTTTTCTTCAAAACCTTGGTACAAAGCAACGAAAGGTCAGTCTATCTACCTGGTGGACACAAGTCTTTAACAGAATTACCATCATTAGCTGGTACCCATTTACACGGTTGGGTAGACTTTGAATCGATATATCTTATTCAAAATTGGGTACACAATTCAATTCCCTAAAATCTAACATGTGACCTTATCTATAAGAAATGCACTTGTCTTGGCAATATTGGTTTGCTTATCGAAAGAAAGCATGTACATAAAACATTTTCATAAGATTCACTATATATATAGAGGCTATTTAAAAGTATCCTGATGAATACCATATTCAATAATATTCTGTCATGCGAGTGAAATATACAGATAAGTGACACGTACATGATGTATTAAAATACCCAGTTTTATGAAATTGGACAAGAAATAAAGATTTAAACAGCTATTGGAATACCTTTTTTGGTACTAGTATAACTGGGGATGATAAGCAGATGTGTCATTCTAGGAAATTATACATGCTGAACATGCCGATGCAGCATATTATGGAAGCAAATTGAATGCCATTTAAGATGACACAAAAAAAATCTTCAAAATTCAAAGTTCAACCTTCTTTACCTCATTTATGAACTGATTCTTGTGCAGTTGGGCTCAGCTGAAAGCTTATAAAATTGCTTTTCCAAAAGTTCCCATTTTTCCGAAATTGGTTTTTAAAATGCTTTTCTTTCAATGCGACTGGAGGGATTTTAACAAAACAAATGGTCCAGAGCATCAATTGACATTACTCATTCCTCCAACCTTACTTTAGGGGAAGGATTTTAAAGATTGACCCCAATTCCACCTATTGAGTCCCAACTTTACACTCTGGGTCACCTTTGCCCAAGGATGCTCTGATCAAAATTTGGTAAAAAATCCCTCCAATCGTACTGAAGGATTTTAAAGATTTGTAACCTCCATTTAACCTATTGGGGCCCCACCCCTCTACACCGTGGGGTGCATCACCTTCCGTTTATACAAATTATGTCCCTTTTGCCAAATATGCTCCAGTCCAAATTAACTTGATATCCACTGAGCCATTCAGGACTAGTAGCGTTTTGAAAGAAAAGTTGACGGACAGAAGGATAACAGATAACCCATATATTGGCAGCTTTGACGGACAGACAACCCATATATTGGCAATTTTGACAGACAGACGGATAACAGATAACCCATATATTGGCAATTTTGACGGACAGATGGATAACAGATAACCCATATATTGGCAGCTTTGACAGACGGATAACAGATAACCCATATATTGACAGCTTTGAATGCAGTGAATAGAAAATACAACGCTGATTGGTAAAGATAAATTCTACATATCTTGCTTCAAGAAAAAGTAATAAAAACAAAACTCTTGGTTTAGTTTCTTTAACTTAATATTTATTCCATACAGAAAGTATTTGAAATATTGCTGACAGGACAAACTCTAGCTGACATAGTTACAAAGGCAGTGTTTTAATGATCACTTCTGCTGAATACTGATCATCACTTCACTTTCAGGATAAGTCCGTGAATATTCATGAATTGATTTCCCTCATGAATATTTAGAAGCTAATTTTCCACAAGGCCAACACAAATTGTTCGATTTTGTTACTATGATCGTTATCAGTCATCATTTGGATGGAAAATAAACGGGACTAATCCTTTACCAAAAGTGAAGTGATTGACAGAGACCGCATAAGCTCTACTATATAAACCAACAAATAATTTATGAGGTTACAATAACATCCAAAAAAAACATGATTCATGTAAACAGTACATGTACCAAATAACGACTCCATACAGACAAATCCACCACATACTGGATACTAGCATGGCTTCTCGTACACAAACAACCAAACAAAGCAAGTAAAGGGAGGTAATCTGGAAATAACATTCTCTACTCATATTTAAACAAACCTTTTTTTTCTCCTCCTAAAATCCCAAATTTGAATTACTTTTAAAAGTTAAAACTTCATAAAAAGTATTTTGAGATCATATCTAATTTTTAGAATAAAGTACAAGGCTTTGAGTAATCATTATCCTGAGGAATAGAAAGAGAAATCTTGGGTGATTCTTCATTCTACACATCAGTCAATCCTGTGTTGGTGTTCAAGTCCTTTCACTTCAGGCATACATGTAGAAATTTATAGAATAAAAGTGGTTGGATATTTATACATATATAATTTCGTACTGTAAATACAGCAAGAAAGCATGTGACGTGATTAGGTCATAGACCAAGGCTACATTAATTAGATGGTAAAGGAGAAGGCCTGAAAACTGAAAGTAGGAATTGTCAAACTTTAAAACAACTATCTATTACTTTAATAACTAAGGGGATTTCTTGCACTATACCTATCTATAGCTATGATGACTGATGATACCCTTATACTATAAATAACAATCCCCAAGTTTGATTATTGTGGGATTGTACAGAAGTTAATACAGTGATTACAACTCATTATTTCTAGTCCACACAGTAATGAAATCAACAATGCACCACAGATTCTGCTTTTTTTAATATGGTGATTTATGAAGAAAGAATTAAATTTTTGTATACCGGTAATTAAGAAAATTATACCAATACGAAAACCTATACAAGCCCAAGGTGAAAATATTTCCTTTTATTTGCTTCAAAGAAAAAAATTTGAACAGGAAATAACACTGATCTATGAAACCTCATGTTGACATACTAAATACATTTAAGCATTTAAATTACGGATTTTTGAATTGTTTACAAAAAGGAAGATCTCTGATAATCTTAGAATATAAGACTTGAATGCTGTCTGTTGTACTGGTTAGAAGTGGTAATAACCTCAAAATGAGACAATACTGATTGAGTTCTGAAAAGAGATATTAATATAAATCACAAAGTGACACATCCTTTACAGTTTGTCAATCATTCACGATGTACAACACATCAATTATCTCCAACAACAACTTGTTCACAAATACTTCAGACCAAAGTTTCACAGATGATTTTGGCTAGGATGTTTTCCTCTTTATTTATGATTTCCCATTGAACTGACAAAACTGTTAAATTATCTGTGAAACCTTGACCTAGATATACATCATACATACAGCTACACGTTACTGATAAAACCACCCGCCAATACGTATGTACAATGGATACACATACAACTACACCTTACTGATAAAACCACCCGCCAATACGTATGTACAATGGATACACATACAGGAATACTAAATTCTAACATATACAGCTTTTATGTTAAACCTCTTGATAACAATAGTCTGAAAGAATAATAGATTCTGAATATTTGCCAAGACTTCTGGACTTTGGAGCTTTAGTTCAACACTGAAAGTCATTCTTATTCCCTAACATTTAAGGCAGGATACTCGGATATATATTGTTTGCATGACTTTTAAGAACAGTTCAGCATACATCTAGAAGATGCTATTTCCACTGACACAAATCAAATAACTGTTCAAGCTCGTCAGCAAACTCACATTAACAATATTTTACACTAAATAACAGTTATTTGCAAAGCTATTAGGGCACAGTATATAAACTTCAGGCTAAGAAGTGTAACAGGTACTTCAAACGGTTTGAGGAGACAGATCTGAACATTTACAACCCCTCGCATCCACAATGGAACACTCTGTTTTATAAAGAAAATCATTCCATCTCGTGAGAAGAGAGATTATGGTTTATACAATTGTATTTAAATAAACCAGAGTACATAAATATATATGTGAAGTTAAATTGGTTATCAGTAATTTAATAATTCAAAAGCAGCAATATTTCAATTTTTGGTGTTTTTTCTTTTATCTCAATATCAAGTATCATCACCGTAGATTGACATAAAATGACATTAGGGACATACACAGAACTTTAGTCCTCGGAATATGTAACAACCTACTAGACATCCGGACATCTGATGGCTCCACTCGACGTCCGGTGGCTCCACCGTGGGTAGTGGTGTGGTGCACATATAGACACAATAACACAGGCCTCAATAGCACACGATCCAAATTCAAAAAGTATATCAATATCATACTGAGACATTTCTATATCATACAGAGACATTTCTATATCATACAGAGACATTTTCATATCATACAGAGACATTTCTATATCATACAGAGACATTTCTATATCATACAGAGACATTTTTATATCATACAGAGACATTTCTATATCATACAGAGACATTTCTATAAATGTGAGAGGTTTTATTTGTTTAAATTGATAAGGTGTATTCATAAACTCCAATCATCCGATGTTCAGGGTATTTTCATGGTTAGACGGTTCTGATTGTCAGTTTATTACCAGTATAAATCCATCAGATCTTTGAGTTTAATAAGTAAAACTATTCTCTACAGATCTTTTGAATCCTTTATTTCAAGTATGTTGCAAAGTGCAGAAATAAGGCGTTTGAGGATTCTGTGATAAGAGATTCATTATTTAACCAGGAGGAAAGGCACCGATAAACTACAGCATGGCCTTATATCCTTCCTTGAGTACACACTGTGTACACATCAGGCAGAAATAGTCAGAATTCCTTCAGATTCTTAGTTTATATTCCTATGTTTATCATCCAATAAACAATTAGAGAAATGACTCATACATCCCATTATAACAACACACAAGTACAACCAGTGTAAAATATGGAAGTAAATAATACACCATGATTGCAGAAAAAAAAATATATAAGTAAGTTGGCTGACACTGAGAGACATAGATTTTGTTTGGTTATGATGGACCCTACAGATCCAATTATCTACTCTCAATATATGTAATATACATATTCAAATTTGAAAATCCTATTTTGAAAAAAAAATAAAAAAGTTTTATATGTATTTCTATGTCAAGTACAAACTGAAAATCCTACTGTTCACTGGAGACATTCCATAGTTAACTGTTCAATCCCTGACTTTGACCTTGACTTGAAACGACCTTGACCTGCTCCACACACTAACAATAAAAGCGGTAATCAGTTACTGCTGAATACTCATGAAATAAAACAGATCCATCTCTGTCCCTCATGGCCCCTGTAACCCCATCTTATCCAGTCTTGAACTTTAACCTGTGACCTTTACCAGATGCCCTCCGATTTTCCGCCTGGTGGGTTAAGTGAACGTGTTGATGCCTTTCTAACTTGTCTGTCATCGTATTGAGCACCTGCCAAAAAAACATAGAAACATATTTGGTATATGTGCATTTGAATTTGATCTCAATATCCCAGCCACCTAGGACTGGAAGCCAGAATCCTCCCAGTTCTACCACAAAACATGCAGCTGTTTAACCACTCCTGTTAGTATATATCTGTCCAAATCTACTGTGAATCAAGTCATTGTTGATTGAAAATGAATGGCAAATCATTGACAATGTAGGGTAAACTATTGATTGTCCTCAAGATTCCATTAAGCTCTAAATAAAACATTTAAGTTTAAAAAAAAACCCATTAAAGTTTAATACATGAACAGTGTTGTCTATCAAATATTTGCCATTTTTATTTCAGAATTTGAACGGCATTAAATCAATAATTTGGTACCTTTTCTTACAATAAACACCAGAAAATTTTCCTTTTAACAGACTTTAGTGTTTTGAAAATTATTCACTTTTAAATTCATCATGAAACTGTATCATTCATGCTTTCTAATTCGATTCCTTAAAACCAAGAAGGTCCAACTACATTTTAGACAATTTTCTCAATATGATGCGACTACTCTCATACCTATAATTAATAATAATTGGAGGTTCTTATATACCGCTTTATCGCAACCTAGTTCGTCTCAAAGCGGTTCACAAATTATTATCCGTGGTTATAGGGCCTTTTCAACTAGCCAGTACATTTCTCAACTCCCTGCGGAGCATACAGCCAGAGCTGCCATTTCGGCGCTCACAGCTAGCATTCTACAATTCTAGCACTGCCCAACCACGTACTCATTTACAGCAGAGTAGACTGGAACAAGTGGAGTAAAGTATCTTGCTCAAGGATACAACACATTGCCGTGCCGTGGCGCGAACCCGCAACCCTTGGTCACGAGCCCGAGGTCCTACCACTGGACTACCGTGCCTTCTAGAGGTTTACTATCCTCTTGTATACTGCTGTGTATATGTATAACATCTTCACTGAGGGAAAAATGTAACAAGTCTTGTATACTGCTATATATATATGTATAGCATCTTCAATGAGGGAAAAATGTAACAAGTCTTGTATACTGCTATATATATATGTATAACATCTTCACTGAGGGAAAAATGTAATGAGTCTTGTATACTGCTGTGTATATATGTTTAACATCTTCACTGAGGGAATAATGTAACGAGTCTTGTATACTGCTGTGTGTATATGTTTAACATCTTCACTGAGGGAATAATGTAACGAGTCTTGTATACTGCTATATTTATATGTATAACATCTTCAATGAGGAGAAAATGTAACGAGTCTTGTATACTGCTATATATGTTTAACATCTTCACTGAGGGGAAAATGTAACGAGGCTTGTATACTGCTGTGTATATGTATAACATCTTCACTGAGGGAAAAATGTAACAAGTATTGTATACTGCTATATATATGTATAACATCTTCAATGAGTAGAAAATGTAACGAGTCTTGTATACTGCTGTGTATATATGTATAACATCTTCAATAATGATAAAATGTAACGAGTCTTGTATACTGCTATATTTATATGTATAACATCTTCAATGAGGAAAAATGTAATGAGACTTGTATACTGCTGTGTATATATGTATAACATCTTCAATGAGGGGAAAATGTAATGAGTCTTGTATACTGCTGTATATATGTATAACATCTTCACTGAGGGGAAAATGTAACGAGTCTTGTGGGAAAAATGTAACAAGTCTTGTATACTGCTATATATATATGTATAATATCTTCAATGAGGAAAAATGTAATGAGACTTGTATACTGCTGTGTATATATGTTTAATATCTTCACTGAGGGGAAAATGTAATGAGTCTTGGATACTGCTATATATATGTATAACATCTTCAATGAGGAAAAATGTAACGAGTCTTGTATACTGCTGTGTGTATATGTTTAACATCTTCACTGAGGGAATAATGTAACGAGTCTTGTATACTGCTATATATGTTTAACATCTTGGCGCGAACCCGCAACCCTTGGTCACGAGCCCGAGGTCCTACCACTGGACTACCGTGCCTTCTAGAGGGTTACTATCCTCTTGTATACTGCTGTGTATATGTATAACATCTTCACTGAGGGAAAAATGTAATGAGTCTTGTATACTGCTGTGTATATATGTATAACATCTTCAATGAGGAGAAAATGTAACGAGTCTTGTATACTGCTATATATATATGTATAACATCTTCAATGAGGGAAAAATGTAACAAGTCTTGTATACTGCTGTGTATATATGTTTAACATCTTCACTGAGGGGAAAATGTAATGAGTCTTGTATACTGCTGTATATATGTATAACATCTTCACTGAGGGGAAAATGTAACGAGTCTTGTATACTGCTATATATATATGTATAACATCTTCAATGAGGGAAAAATGTAACAAGTCTTGTATACTGCTGTATATATGTATAACATCTTCAATGAGGGAAAAATGTAATGAGTCTTGTATACTGCTGTGTATATATATGTTTAACATCTTCACTGAGGGAAAAATGTAACGAGTCTTGTATACTGCTATATATATGTTTAACATCTTCACTGAGGGGAAAATTTAACGAGTCTTGTATACTGCTATATATGTTTAACATCTTCACTGAGGGAATAATGTAACGAGTCTTGTATACTGCTGTATATATGTATAACATCTTCACTGAGGGGAAAATGTAACGAGTCTTGTATACTGCTATATATATGTATAACATCTTCACTGAGGGAAAAATGTAACAAGTCTTGTATACTGCTGTATATATGTATAACATCTTGTCTTGTATACTGCTGTTTATATGTTTAACATCTTGTCTTGTATACTGCTATATATATATGTATAACATCTTCACTGAGGGGAAAATGTAACGAGTATTGTATACTGCTGTTTATATGTATAACATCTTCACTAAGGGAAAAATGTAACGAGTCTTGTATACTGCTGTTTATATGTATAACATCTTCACTAAGGGAAAAATGTAACGAGTCTTAACTGAGTTTAAATTAGTTTATTCTGAATGCAGGCATATATCTGCCTCTATATTCAGATCATAGTCCATATCATTATCATTTACAGAACTAATCATATCTCAAGAGTCTTGAAAGGGACTTTTCCAGCTGTTTTTTCTATTATCATAATTTCAATAGGTTTTCACAAAGTGAGATAGATTTGTGAAACTGAGTTCAACATTTATATTTCAAATCACCGAAAGACCAACTCACAGAAGAGTGAACATTTAGTAAAAATTCACAAGTGTGTAACCACTTGATCACCCAGAACAAAGTTAGCATGGAAACTGTGTTAGTAGCCGCATAAGCTGTGGTGAAGTATAAAGACACAATTACAAGACAAGCTATACCCGCTGGTGGAAAATAGACATTTAAATTTTAACAGACATAACAGGGGAAATTTTATCAAGGTACACAAAAGTTGTCAAAACCAGATAGTTTTTGAATTTTATATACACTGGTCTAAAGCCTGATTCTAAAAATATCAATTATATTTAAATAACCGTTATATGAATCAAATACTTTATGAAAAGTCTTTGATAAAACTTCTTAAACTATCATGTAGAAGAAAAATACTGTAAACCATATAACATTTTTAATCGGGTCAACGTTTTATCATTAACAGTTACAAATAATTCTCCAAATGTTTTGTTGATCTGTCCACAGGACACTTCACCAACTTTGATGATGTTAAATAATTCCGACCCCTTGCTCGAGATTATTTTCCAGAACTGAACTCTTTGTCAAAGCATTGATGCCGTAATGATGTGTCTTTAACGGGGCTCAGTGCACCTCCTGTGTAGTGTTTCTGTAGAGTACTGTGTTTAACTGTGAGGTTAGTCGAGCTCCGGTAACAGAGTTATATTGTTAAAATGGACGACTTATTGGAGAAATTTTAGTTTCAGACTTTTTCTGCCTTATCCAGATGTTTTGAACACCTTGTACAAAGTAATAAGCCCATAGATAAACATCTGAATATTTGTATACAATAAACATCAGATATTGGGCATGAAAATGGGCATTCATCTTGATCCACTGTCATCCATATGTGCCACTGACATATTGATAGGTCTACATCAGTATCCCTAAATTCAATCATTAAAAAATCATCATCAGGATTTTAGAAATATATATATTTTTTTGTCTTTAACACCAGCTGGTTACAATGGCCAGTTCTTATCATGCACAAAATACAACCTTTTTCTTCTTAGCATAAACTGGCAACAATACTGTAGCATAAACTGGCAACAATACTGTACAGAGAGAACATTAAAAATCACTGTCGAGTTCAAAATCAAATACAAAGTTTTTCTGATTCTGGGTAATTTAGGAGAATTCACTACTTAGTAAAGTTTTGTATTAGTAATTTGACATGCAGCCAGTTAGTAAGTAGTCTGATGTATGGTCAATATCCAGGGAACCGATGTTAATAGAATTTTTTTAAGAAAATTTAAAGTTTAAAATTCAGTTCAGGACCTTGTGAAATTTTGAAGATTTTCAATTGCTACAGCTATCTATTAAGACCGATGTTGTGTGTGTTTTGCGGATGAGTTGTAAACCCTTGAGGTGCACTGAGCTTCCCATATCTTACCACTGAGGCTAAAGCTAGAGTCATGAAGGTTTCTCCCACCACTGCTGGTGGCTGGCCGACTGTGAGAGTTAAACTTGTCTGATCCAGCATCAGCAGACAGGATTGGGTTGCTCGACTTTGTTATCACATCCAGCATGTTTCCATCAATCTTTGCAACCGGTCCATCGTATGGGTCTCTTTCTACCTTACATGGCTGACAGGTCTGTGATTTGGAAATTTCAACAATTAATTTATCAAATGCAAAGGATTTAAATGAATTCAAATGTATTATAAAATAAACTGATGTTTTTTTAAAAAGAAAAAATTAAGGAGAAGACATATTTTGTTATTGTTTCTCTAATCTTCAATTCATGGACATCTTTCTCAAGAATGTAACATATTAATATTGAAGCAGGAAATACATTTTTATTTGCCAACTATTAAAATGATTATTATGTTAAAATCATGAACAGATCTCATTTGAAAATTTTCGTTGCAGATTGCAAATTATTCTAGTTGTCGTACAGTTATTGAAGAAGTCAGTGACATGGCAAACAATGTCCAATCTGATTAAAATCCAGGCATAGGACGAAGTTAACGGAGCCACGTAACAGATTATTTTAATCAAATTGACATGATGTCATATTTAATCGAAAGGAATGTGACTGGAGGCGACCAAATTTACATCGCCCATGCAACACTGTCCATAAAAATACCTACCCTCTCCCTCTCTCTGATTCGGCTAAATGCTATTTCTGAGTTACAGGGTGTAGGAATATATCGGCCCATTCCCTGTGTCACACGCAGCTGTAAACACAATATCGCAGTCATCACTACACAACGACGAAATCTAAGAAACATTAATAAATTAACATAATATTTCCACCATCAAACAAGTAGACCCTGTATACTTGGATACTGATCTTGTGGGATGTCAGTATGTTTTGTTTATAATGAACAACAAAATATATAAAGCACTCGTTTGAATGTTAAAAGATGTTCAAAATAATTATTAATTCTCTTCATACATAAATACAAATAAATATAAATATCTCACACATATAATTAATACAGATGAGAGAGATGGAAATTTTACTCTGAAGCTACATCATACCCATTTTAACAAGACTTGATTGGGTTCCTTTGTCCAGGCCAATCAAAGTTCTGCAAAATAAAGTATTTTTAGATTCCTGAGATGAACCTCATTCATTAAGATATGCTAAGATTTAAATCAAGGTACACAAGAACAGCATTCTCACCTGTCCCTCGTCTAACACGACATGGCCGTTGGTGATGACGTAATCCGGAACGCCATGACACGTCATGCCTTCGAATATATTGAAATCTACAGCCTGATGGTGAGTCTTAGCAGAGATAGTTCTGGTTGCCTTCGGGTCCCAGACCACAATGTCTGCATCAGATCCTACAGCGATACGGCCCTGAAAATAAGATAAAGTATAATACTCATAAACATAGGTTTACATTACGGAGACATGAAACATCCCAGAATGCATAATCCACAAATATTTGATTTTTCTAGTTCTAGTGATGTAATTTTTGCAATTAAAAATTTAAAGAAAAGAAACCTTTTATAACACCTCCTTGTAAACTAGAATTCATCTTCTCATCTTTTTTAACCCATTCACCCCTGAAGACAGATTTGAACTCTTCAAGATCAAAGGTTGGAATAGTCCATTATGAAATTTCAGGGGTGATTGAGTCATGCGTTTTCTTCATAACATAACCTTATATTCCAAGTCTTGAAAGAGGGTTACAGTAAATCTTGAGCTTATTAACACTAAGACAACCTCGTGTTACACTGAACATAATTTAATGGCACAAGCAGATATTTGTATTATAAAAATAATGATAATTTGAGGTTCTTATATACCGCTTTATCACAACCTAGTTCGTAAGTCGTCTCAAAGTGGTTCATGAATTATTATCCCTGGCTATACGGCTTTTGCAACCAGTCAATATCTTTCTCAGCTCCCTGTGGAGCATACATCCGGTGCTGCCATTTTGACGCTCACAGCTAGCATTCAACAACTCTAGCACTGCCCAACCACATACTCATTTACAGCTTAGTAGACTGGAACAAGCGGAGTAAAGTATCTTGCTCAAAGATACAACAAAGTGCTGTGCCATGACTCGAACTTGCAACCCTTTGGTCACGAGCCGTGCGTCCTACCACTAGACTATTGTGTCTCCTAGACTATCTTATCGTTTTTTGCTTGTGAATTGGTTTACCCACACACTTATACCTGATCAATGATACAGTCTGCCTTAATGTTGGTATAGCAATGTACGTTGACATGTTATCATGATAAATATTTTACCTTTTGAGGATAAATGTTGAAGATCTTGGCAGCATTGGTACTAGTGACAGCTACAAACCTACAGGGGTCCATCTTACCACAGGCCTGTAAATGTAGATATAGAGTTGTAGACATAAACGTCTCAGACAGCATAAACAATAGTAGGCTCTGTTATTTCCTCTATATAGATGTTACCTGAATATTGGACTACATAAAAACTGAACTAAATACCATTAGCAGACTTTTAACAGGTTTAGAACATTTAAAAGGCACTAAATCAAATCATAATTTGATCATGCTGCCCTATAGCTAATTTATGGACAAGAATGTCATTACTGTTCAATTGATAACAAGCACCAACTCAATTAAGTCAATACTGGTTCACTTGAAATTGGTTATTTATTTAACAGAGAGTAAAACTACTCCAAAAATAATTCAATTAAACTGTTTTAAAAGACACTCACAACTCCCTTCTCCCAGATGATAGACATTCTGTCCTCAACACCATTTACACCGTTAGGAATCTTTCTAAAATCATCCTTGCCCAATGCCTTCTGGTCAGCGTTAAAGGTGCAGTTATCTGTTCCGGTCACTTGGAGGTCATTACTGAAAGGAAGCCACATTATATTTTAGTTAGACGAACCAATTTGGATCTTAAACATTAGACAAACTATTTATTTGGTCACCATGGATGTACATGGCCATGACTTAAATGGACATAAACATACTGATCAAGATATACCTTCTTTAAAAGCAGGTTCATAAGGTAAACATGAATATTATGTTTGTGTAGTTTATGTACCTATTTTGTATACAGTTCATAAAGTTCACATCAATATCTAACAACCTTGACATTATACATTATTATTTTTTCTTATTATTCCCGACAAGTGACTGGCCAGGATTGCATCATTTGTCCACCGATAAAACAAATATTGACTTGGAGCGTGTGATTTTTGTTGAAGGACTGGGTGTTTCTAAAAATAGAATTATGACGTGTCTCCAAACAATGCACGCACTTCTGAAGCTTTTTTTTTTCAGATTGCTTACATTAATGTTTTGTAAAATAATGAAACAATTATAGCCTTTAACTTTGGTCAATACCTGGAGTTATCGACCCGAAAAAAGAAATATTGACCTCGGACTGCGTCCTCAGTCAATATATCTTTTCTTGGGTCGATAAATGCAGGTATCGACCTCAGCCAAAGGCTATAATTGAATATTACTAACATTCTAAATGTTAACAATGGTCTATAGGCCAGATATCTTACTCAGAATATCTGGTTACTTGCCTGTAAATTCATCAAATCGTCATTGTTATTTATTTGATGGTATCCCTAAACGAGCAGCACTTACTTAGCTAGGAGGTCCATGAGGTAGCCCGGAGTGGAGGGGTCTGGTCTGAGAGGTGGTCCCATCACATGTCCAGCCCCGTGTCTCCAGCACTTGTTCCAGTAGTGGGTTCCGTCCGTACCAAGACTAGCAGCAATCGGCTCACCGAACACAACATTACCTGTAACAGATAACTCGGTGTCAACACCTGTATATTTTGGCATCACGGTCATGCAAGTTCATCTATAAAAGGGATGTAAAATCACACTGTTTTTATGACATACATTTTTGTAATTCTTTATTTGTTTTGTGAGGATTACTGACTAAGAGGTGTCCTGTTAACGAATCACACTGTTAACTGGTACATGTACCTTTAATTTGGAAAGGAATACAAAACGATGAATTATTATCCAAATGGGCAGGATTTTTACAAAAACCAAGGTATGTTTCTATGGTAATTAGAGTTATACATGCAGTAACTTAACAATGGCTTACAGTTCTGTGAGCCATATAGCAAGGTTTTGAGAGGACTAGCAACACAATGTTCCCTTTTTACAGTTTTCATAGTGTATTTAGTAATACCAGAGAAAATATTGAGGCAATAGTAGTAGTAAACAACAAATATTGAGGCCAAGGGGCCTGATAATCTCACCTGGGTATTTACTTATATTAATCTTGATACAGGATGAAAAGCACTAATTAACGTAGGCTCTTTACAGTTTTACTTCTCTTGGTTCTCACCACTTTGTTCTCATGGGGGCCATATTTGTTATTTTCAAAATGTCACTCCGTTGGCCCAAGATTCCTTTATACCAAATTTGGTTAAAATGTCTTTATAGTAACTGAAGGGGAACTTACCCTTATTTTCCAAATTTGATCCCTTAACGAACCACACCCTTTGTTTAGACATTACTTTGTACCCTGGCTTTCACCCAGGGATATTGTATACCAAAGTAGGTTAAAATCACTTACTCAAGCTGGATCTATAAAGCTTTATCCTTATTTTTCATATTGGGCCCTATTACACTGCCTCAATGAGGATCAAATCTTGCCTTTTTACAAAATTGAGTTCCCTTAGCCCAGGGATGCTCCATACACAATTGTTTTGCTGTACAACTATGGGATGAAATTGTATATTTCATATGTCACAAGAGCAAGGATGTGTTGTCTATCGATAGAGAGTGTATACACATTGTAAGGAATAAGTATCTTATTGACGACTTCCTGTGTCTGATTGTTGAAATGATCTGTAAAGAAAAATCTCACCTTTCCTACGACTATCGGCCAGCGCATTGGCAGCTGTCCGGCTCATGATCTTACATACGTAGAGTGGACAGTTGGCCTGACTGGCTATAGTAACGGCACGGTATACAGCCTCACCCTCCACCTACAATTTGTAACCACGTCCACTATAGTGTAGTCTGTACAACACAGTCAGGGCCTTGTCTGACAGTACCTGTCCGACTGTGATGACAGCGAGTCTCTTGTTTTAGATTCCTTTATGGGACAGCAAAATTAAAACCCTGTGGTGACACAAAGTTCTGGTTTGTAACTAAGTTAAGGTCCTATCCTTTTGTTCACATGGTTTCTTTCCATGTACAGTTCCTGGTGAGTTGTTTTATGTGAATTCCTGACTTTATAAAAACCAGATATTTGTCAAATGAAGCAAATATCTGGATCCCTTTGGTCAAGGTATTAACATTGAGTCAATTAGTAGCCAACAAACATGCAAAAAAAGCTCTACAAAAATTCTGCAGAGTGGTCATTTTAACAAACAGATTATGTATTTTTTGTGTAAATTGTGTGATTTTTGTGAACATCAATTCAAATAAGAATTCCAGTTACCTCTTTTCAATGTGAGTTTATAACTTCAGACTGATGAAGAAATTTTCCGAATAAAAAAGAATGGAGTTGTCTCCCTTCCAGTGTTAACATTTCAGTCACAGAGAACTATGGATCCATTTGTAGAGGTGAAATGACCACTATGTCAGAACACACAAAATAAAATTGTATCAAACCTCTTCTCCTGGCCGCAGTCACAACCTTTGCTGCAGATTTGCTCATGACATGAACAACATACAGTGGGCAATTAGCCTGGTGTGCTATCGTGATAGCTCGTAGTGTGGCTTCAGCCTCTACCTAATACCAGACAGGGTAGAGAACAGAAAAGCAAAGTAAAATAAAAAGCAATAATTTAAGAAAAAAAACAGAAACACGCATACATACACAATATCTATAGGAACAAATTATTCATTCAAGAAGAAATAAATTAGGTACAAAAATTGAATATTTGATTATACAAAATAAATATAAATTAATATTACATAACAAATGAGATTAACACATCTATACAGTAGAGCATTGAGGATCCAACCTTATTCATACGAAGTTGATAATACAGCCATTTTTGTTCTAGCGAAAGGGGTTGGATTGTAAGCCGGCAGGAGTACATGGATAAATGGTATAGAATGAGGTCAATTTGTTCCCTACAAACTGGCTGGATAGTGGAATAGACAGATTACAGGGGTAGCTGGACTAATGAGACAACTGGATTAGTGGAGGCTTGATTAATGAGACAACTGGATAGGTGGAGGCTTGATTAATGAGACAACTGGATTAGTGGAGGCTGGATTAATGAGACAACTGGTTTGGTTGGGGCTGGATTAATGTGACAACTGGATTAGTGGAGGCTTGATTAATGAAACAACTGGATTAGTGGGGGCTGGATTAATGAGACAACTGGATTGGTTGGGGCTGGATTAATGAGACAACTGGATTGGTTGGGGCTGGATTAATGAGACAACTGGATTGGTTGGGGCTGGATTAATGAGACAACTGGATTGGTTGGGGCTGGATTAATGAGACAACTGGATTGGTTGGGGCTGGATTAATGAGACAACTGGATTGGTTGGGGCTGGATTAATGAGACAACTGGATTGGTTGGGGCTGGATTAATGAGACAACTGGATTGGTGGAGGCTTGATTAATGTGAAAACTGGATTGGTGGGGGCTGGATAAATGTGACAACTGTTTTGATTGATGCTGGATTAATGTGACAACTAGATTAGTGGAGGCTTGATTAATGTGACAACTGGATTGGTTGGGGTTTGACTAATGAGACAACTGGATTGGTTGGGGTTTGATTAATGAGACAACTGGATTGGTGCCTGGGGCTAGATCAATGAGACAACTGGATTGGTGGAGGNGACAACTGGATTAGTGGAGGCTTGATTAATGTGACAACTGGTTTGATGGAGGTTAGATTAGTGTGACAACTGGTTTGATTGATGCTGGATTAATGAGCCAACTGGATTAGAAGAGGCTGGATTATCAAGGCTCAACTGCAGAGCTACTGCTGATAACTTTTATTTCAAATACTTGCGTATTTTCATATAAATTTCAGGTAAAATGTCACTTTGGAACTTAATTATTATGTTAACAAACACTGATACATACGGCATACACGTCGAGCGCAATATGCTCACTACTAGGTATATAATGTGTTTTCAACATAATTTAACATCATAGAAATTTTTACATATCGGTATTCAGCAGTATAAACATATATTTGTACTCAAGTAAGCAGAAAGAAAATAATTACGATGAATAAAGCAAAAGCAAAAAGTTGAAATTTATTTTGAATATTGTTAAAAATCTACAGTACTACATGAAAATAACTCAGTACAATGATGATTTAGTAACAGGGCAGGCTTTAAGTTTCATCCTTGAATTTCAGAGAATTGACATTAATGTACATTTTTTATATACTTTTGATTTCGAAACATTTTCAAGAACCATTCACTCCCCGACTTCAAAATACAATTCCACTTTTTTTTTTTTTTTTTTTTAAACTTTTGGGTTTAAACTCCAAAACTTTCATGCAGTTTCTATGCCCAATTACAATTATATAGATCTGCAGTCTTAACAAGTTTTTAAGACAACCTTGAGAAGGTCACAAAGCCTAACAAATCTGTACCCAGAAAACTTTATAAGATAATCTAAAGGTCAGGAGTGTCAAAAGTATTATATTGAAAGCCTGGCCTATTATTACATCAAATACACCAATACGATTACAGTAAAACTCCACAACATTGAAAAATAAGAGTTCAGTCAAACTACACACCATGAGTCAAACTACACATGAGTCAAACTACACACCATGAGAAACTTGTACTTTCAGAAATGTTCACCAAAAAAATTTGCTTAAAATTGTTTTCCAAAAGTGATTATCACCTTATGATTGTTTTTTCTCTATCTGACACAGGAATGTAAGAAATATGCTAAAAAACTATTTCATGAATGCATAATTACATCATCAATGTACACAAATAAAGCCTTAATTCTAGAATATAACTTTAATACTCTGATAAAATTTTAATTTGTAAAGGAATTTTAATTTCCAAACACAATTCCGTTATTTCTATAATTTTGATAGCCATTGATATGCAAAGTTTGGTTGTAAGTTACTTACTGCAATTAACATTATCAAGAGATGAATAGCAACATTTTACTAAAGCGATGAGAATAAACTCATTTGCTTGTTTAATCATTCCAATCAGCGAGTACTAAACCATTATATGATAAAATGACATTAACATTTCTTACCAAAGGAATTTTCTGCTTCACCTCCATTTAAATCTTTTTCTTGTTGTTTCATTTAAAATGTAACATTTGTTTTATTTACGCTTGACCAGACTTATTTACACTCGACCAGACTGACCGCTGCTCAGTTCTATGACCTACCTCCTCTGGACGACACATCTCGTGGCCCTCAGGTCCAGTGATACCATTATCTATCATCTCCTGGGATTTCTAAATGAAAAATAAACAAAAGGATTTTATTTTTTATTTCTTCAAGAATGTATTACAAAATCATCAATTAATAGTAACAATGTGATCTATGATCCTACTGAGCCTAGTGATGTTTTTTTTTCATTTCAGAACATTCTATTTTAAAGGTCTCTTGTACAAAAAGAATTGGGCAACAGGCACAGTCTATGTAAGCCATCTCCTTACAATATATTTACAAGTGCATATACATCATATTGCTAGTATTTATAGTTAACAGATATATCTTAAATATTTAATATGACATTATTTATATAAATCTTAGTCATTATATCTACTAATTGTTACAATTATTATCATTGATACAAGATCAAGAGAAGTCCGTCAGCTGGCGAGACAGGAACTGGTGACTAGCACAACAGTGAATAGAAATGTGATTTTATGGTTCTACCTCTGCAATTAAATGTCCGTTTTCAGCGTGGACCATGCCAATTGCTCCAAGTTCTCGACACTTCATGAATGTCTGGTACACTTCGTGATCATCCAACATGAACACATCCTTGTACGCCAGGAACACTTTGAAAGAGTTCACACCTGTAACACACAAGAACGGTAATTAGGGTCAGAATCACTGTTCTACATGTCATTATAACATCAAATGAACATACTAAAGATTTTCATGGGGTCACACAGTGAAATAGTTTTAATGACATTTGCCCTTGTGAATAATGACTAATTACAGAAAAACAAAGAACCATGTTACCCTTCCCCAAGGCCAATAGATATATCATTATACCAAAATGGAACAATAAAACGGCAGTGAAGATGATAAGACTTGTTCGCCATTGTTGTCATCAGTTTCATTGTTTTATTGTCACAGAGGTAACCAGACAACATTGTAGTAATATTCTGACCTTTCTCTTTACACAGGACCTCCATCTCCTTGGCGACCTGGTCTGACCACCATGTGACCCCGACATGAAGCGCGTAGTCGCAGCAGACCTTGCCATCAGCCCAGCTCCTCCACTTGTCATAAGCTTCCAACAGTGATACGTTCTTCTGGTCGAGGACGAAGTCAACTGTAAAGGTCGAACACATTAAGTTAGGCAAATAGACAAATAAAAAGGTCAAGTGAAACAGTTAGACATCAAGTACATTTCTGGGTACAGTATGGCTTGAATTGTGAAGGATAATACATATACAGGGCTAGACAATAAGGGTAGCAAGATAACCTGAGGCGAGTGAAATCTCCAGATAACCTGAGACTAGTGAAATCTCCAGACAACCTGAGACTAGTGAAATCTACAGATAACCTAAGACAGCTGGACAAAATTTGATATTACTTATCTTTTTGAATAATATTGGGTTAGAGGAATTTGCACATGGACAATTTAAAATTGGAATTTACTACCCCAATTGACTAGTGGTAATAAAAATTAATTTCTAGACCAGTAGTAGTAGCAGACTAAGACATGCTGTAAATTGTACGTGCATATTCAAATGTACTACCACTGGCCTGTGGTTATATGTATGTACTACCAATGGCCTGTGGTTATATGGGGAAATGGGGAAATGTACTACCAATGGCCTGTGATTATATGGGGAATTGTACTACCAATGGCCTGTGGTTATCTGGGGAAATGTACTACCAATGGCTTGTGGTTATATGGGGAAATGTACCACCAATGGCCTGTGGTTATATGGGGAAAGGTACTACCAATGGCCTGTGGTTATATGGGGAAAGGTACTACCAATGGCCTGTGGTTATATAGGGAAGTGTCCCACCAATGGCCTGTGGTTATATGTATGTAATACCAATGGCCTGTGGTTATATGGGGAAAGGTACTACCAATGGCCTGTGGTTATCTGGGGAAATGTACTACCAATGGCCTGTGGTTATATAGGGAAGTGTACCACCAATGGCCTGTGGTTATATGTATGTAATACCAATGGCCTGTGGTTATATGCGGAAATGTACTACCAATGGCCTGTGGTTATATTGGGAAAAGTACTACCAATGGCTTGTGGTTATATGGGGAAATGTACCACCAATGGCCTGTGGTTATATGTGTGTACTACCAATGGCCTGTGGTTATATTGGGAAATGTACTACCAATGGCCTGTGGTTATATAGGGAAGTGTCCCACCAATGGCCTGTGGTTATATGTATGTAATACCAATGGCCTGTGGTTATATGGGGAAATGTACTACCAATGGCCTATGGTTATATGGGGAAATGTAAGTAAATTTTATTTTCAAGATCATATACTGTACCCAGGTATTCATAAAAGCATAAAAATGATGATCATATGTTGATTGTAACAAGAGAGAAATCCTCATTCCAAAATATCTTAAACCATTATTTTGACATTTAACATAGTGTAAATCTATTGCTGAAGACATATACTTCATAGTATGAGTGTGTAATCAATCATTTCCATTTCTTTTAATTAAACTTATTTTGTTTGGCTTGGGAACTTGCAACTGTAAACAGCAAAGCAATTCCAAACATAGAAACTGGATTAGGACGGGTAATCTGTCAGTCTAGCACAGTTTATTTAACTCTGTACGATTGTTTGTTTGTTTGTTTGATTTTGTTTAACGTCCTATTAACAGCTAAGGTCATTTAAGGACGGCCTCCCCTGTGTGCAAGATGCATGCGTGTTGTGTATGTGTGTGTATTTTGGGAGGCTGCGATATGTTCGTGTTTGTCTTCTTGTAATAGCGCGGAACTGATGCCGACTTTATAGTGCTACCTCACTGAAACATACTGCCGAAGACACCCAGCAGGACGCCCCACCCGGTCACATTATACTGACAACGGGCGAACCAGTCGTCCAACTCCTTATTTGCTGAGCGTTAAGCAGGAGTAGAAACTGCCATTTTTAAAGACTTTGGTATGTCTCGGCCAGGGGACAGAACTCTGTACGAATCATGGTATTCTATATGATAAGTCTGAGAAATTGCTTCTATGATCTGTATCACGTTTCTATTGAAGGGACAGCCATTTATCTAGCTTGTAATGATGTCATCGCTAATACACAACTGCAAGATTTTTTTTTTGGATTCACATATGGTAGAGATAGATTAAATAGCAAGAGGCAATCACTTTGTGCTCGGACACATCTGTAACAGTTTTCACATAACCTCCATAACATTTTTTTTTGTGAAAATATTTCATTCTTTGCCACCACACCCATTTACATTACAATGCTAATCGCAACAACAGCCGGGAGATGACGGCTTCCTCTGCCACAACATATGACCGCTCAGCCTCTGAATCATACGGTTAGGATCAATACCTCGAGTAACACGACAGTGCTACACCCACTAGAGGAATGGTTGTGCTGAGTCAGCACTTTCTATAATGGCCTGTGAATATTTCTGTCTGTATATTTTCTTTAATGTCCCCCATAAGCTGATACTTCCCAAATGGCACTTTATACCAGTGCTGGAATATATCTTTTCTAGACTAAAACTTCCTGTTATTATTTCTAGTACACATACATACGGTAGATCATTTAAGCTAAAACTATCTTATTTTATGGAAGTTCATGGTGTTTAGGGTTTAATTAAATTACCAGAGCTGTAATTTTTTTCTGATTTGGCATGAGTATATTACCCAAAGCACATAATAACTCTTGACTGGAATTCATCAATATCTATGAAATCATTCTCCAAAATGTAACCTTACCAAATATGTACAAATTCTGTTGGTCCTACGACCTGGACCGAGCCCTGTAATATGCAACTACATCCCAAGTTTGACTGAAATTCACCATGATGTAGGAAAGTGTTCAGAAAGCATGGGCCAATCATTATTGTGGATTTAAGATTAAGTTCATCTTCAAACTTTGCAAAGTATTACTATTATACCCAAAATTTGCCTGAACTCCAAAAACTAGTTGTTGAATTAAGTACAAGTAATTGTTGAATGCAAGGACAAATTGAAACCAATTTCCTGTTTTTCAAAAACATGGTAACAGTTAAAATGCCAGAAGAGATCCGATCAATGAACTGAATTATCAATAGTTTGTAATAAAACATTTTTCACAAGCACATACTGTATACTGGGAAACTTGCCCAGTCAAATATTCATCCTTCCCTGGTAAAATCTGTATATGCGGAGTGTTAATTTTGCCCTTCACATGCTATTATTATACAGTATAGGGTAAACTGTGTACTTATATTCACTGTCGTAAAAACATTCTTCCTATTGCGAAGGGTGAAAAGGGTGAAAATTAAATTGCAGCGAAACATTTCCCGGTAAACTGATCAGATAAACTCATTAACTGTAGTAATGATGTGTTTACCGTATCTCAAACTAATAAACTATTTCCCTGTAATACTGCGGGTATATCTCTATAATGATTGACAGGTAACCTTTTTACCAGGACTAATGGCCAGCTATGTAACATTCTGTGGCCTGTTATTCCCCTGTCCGACACCTGTGGAATCACTAGAGTTTGGATGTAACACCTCTGACCCATACAGCTCCACCTCTCAAAGTGAGGCATGCTCTATCACTGCCACAACTAGATCTAAATAGGACACTAATCGAGGGGAACAACATGTATCTACACAAAACGTTTCTTACTCCAACAGGTGTGTGTGTTTATTATCTATACAATACTATGATGTGTGTGGCGGAGGGTGGATAAAGCACCCATATAGACTTCAGCGATAGTCATCTCCCTCAATGGTAAGTTAATGGGCTGATGACTCCCAGGCCTTATCACTGTACAACACACACTCGGGTCACAGAATTCACAGGTAATTCAGGATTTCACAATGAGACTTTTCAGTTAGTTTCTTGAATGAACAACATCCATATATAGTGTATCTAACATTATAAATCTGATGTAATCACACTCAAATCAGACGTGTTCATGTATAGAGATAATCAAGTCCTTTTCTTGAATGAACAATCTGTATTTATCATTTCCTTGATATACGATCAGTGAAAACATCAACTCAATCTTTTCCCAGTTATCTTTGAATAACAAGAGGCCCAAGGGCCTTAGCGGTCACCTGAGTTATATCATAGATACTGGTAGCTTTATTTTATTGTTAAGATGTGATGTGGAAATCAGCATGTAAACTAAGTGAAATACAATACTTGTCATGTCATCAATGGATAAGAATTTGAAAATATTGGTAAATGTTCCCTTTGGGGCCCCGCCCTAGCCCCTGGGGATGGGGCAGGAATCCTAATTTTACAAAGTAAAACTCTCATTTACCCAAGATGATTCTGACTAAGTTTGAGCAATTTTCTGCTGAAAATGGATAAAATATATACCGAAAAGTGTTATTTCCCTATATAAACTATATTAAACGTTAACCCCTCCCCAAGGGAGAACGGATAGCTCGGGGTCCTGATATTTTCAATTTAAATAAAGCCCCTGATGATCTTTCTTTCCACGTAAAGAAAATCACTGTAGTACCTCTGAGTCTGGAGAAGAAGATTTTTGAAATATTGGATAATTTTCCCTTTGGGGCCCCGCCCTGGCCCCAGGGGTTGGGGTAGGAATCCCAATTTTACAATTTTGAAGCCTCATCTACCAAGGATGATTCTGACCAAGTTTGAAAAAAATCCATCCACTGGTTCTTGAGAAGAAGTTGAAAATGTAAAAGTTTACGCACGACGGACGACGACGGACGAAAAGCGATTGGAATAGGTCACTTGAGCAAAGCTCAGGTGACCTAACAAGTATATTTCTGAAGTATATAGGCTTAGCACAAAAGGTAAAAAGAACTTGTTTGCCCATTTCTTTTACAATTAATATTTCATACTGAAGCATCAATGAGTACTAAGAATGTAATCAAACAACATGATGCATATTTTCCCAGAATTCCACCCTGCTTTTACATTGTCACATTACACTTATCTTATAACAAAGAGGAGAGATTTGTGTCAGAAAACAGATTAATAAACGTCACATTTCAATAGAGTTACAGGTATGCCACTTGTACTTTTATATAATCTATCATCATATCGTTCCTGAACTTTAAATTCAGTGTTGTTGTCCCATCATATAGTTCCCTCTTTTCCTTCTAAATGGACATTCATTTATCAAATCAGTTTTAATGATCAATTAAGCTCACAATTAAGAAATTCCTACACCGATATTTCCTGATTCAGAATAACGAAGTGCTAAAACAAACTAGAAATATGTCAGAATGACATGAAAGTCACCCCATCATTCTGTAAGACGATTTTCCGATAAATCATTGACCAAGCTACAACGGATATATTTCCACCTGTCAATCAAAATAGTAAACAATTTCCAGGTGTAAATACATACATGCTGTTCAGGTAGCCATAGCAACACAGGGAATTAATAGGAAAGCATGTCGCAAATGTAACGTTAGCGTTAACCGACACCTCGAATACGGGGAGATCTGCGCGCTGCACCTGGCATGGGCAGAACATGTAATTGGAATATAACGATGTTGTTTTCTTAACAATAAGTTTCTGAAAAGATTCAATCTTATATAAGGATAAATCTTCTACTATTTTTTGTTATGAAATACACTTTTCCAATTAGTTTTCTGATCGTCTGCAAATCCGACTGAATCGGTCATCGATATCGGCAGAATGTGTACTGTATGCTTAAAGGCAGTCACTCCGACGAGGACCGCCAACAGCCGAATTCGCAAGACATGAAGAACACCTAACAATTGTGATATCAGCAATTCTCCTTCGAAAAGAAAAGATCGGAATGTATTTGGTGGTTTTGAACCCGTTGATATTTAATTTTCAAACTCAAACTTTTATCATTATCGGTTCTAAGGTTTGATTATTTCATCTTAATGAAGAACTTAAAATATGTCGTTTATTTAACTTATTCACCCCTGAAGACACATTTGAACTCTTCCAATTCAAAAGTTTGAATAGTTCCTTATGAAATTTCAGGGATTTAAAGATGACTAACAGTTATGAACATTTGTTTCCTCCTTTTTTCATTGAGCAATTCCTAAATAAGGAAATGTATATTGCACCAGTCGAGAGAATGTGCGGGTTAGTTTAGTCTATGAGCTACTATTGAACTGTGATTGTTTGCCCCTACTCTCTGACACTAGGAACAGCTAGTCACTTACTGATCATGGTTGTTCCTCCGGCCAGGGCCGCTTTAGTTCCACTGTAAAAATCGTCCACAGCAAACGTTCCCATAAACGGCAACTGCATGTGTGTATGTGTGTCGATACCACCTAAAACATATAAGATATCAATGTTACATATATAAACGGTAACTGCATGTGTGTACGTGTGTCGATACCACCTAAAACATAAAATATCAAGGTTACATATATAAACAGTAACTGCATGTGTGTATGTGTGTCGATCCCACCTATAACATATAAAATATCAAGGTTACATATATAAACAGTAACTGCATGTGTGTATGTGTGTCGATACCACCTAAAACGTATAAAATATCAATGTTACATATATAAATGGTAACTGCATGTGTGTATGTGTGTCGATACCACCTAAAACATAAAATATCAAGGTTACATATATAAACAGTAACTGCATGTGTGTATGTGTGTCGATACCACCTAAAACATATAAAATATCAATGTTACATACAATATCAATACATACTGTGAAATCACTAATTTTCAATGGGTTCTATGCTGGGGTTGTTTTTTTTTAATTTCGTGGGTTATCTTCCCCCCACGGATTCATAGGTCCACAAAGTAATTATAAGTTTGAAATAAAGCAATTCTTCTTTTTTTTTAGTGGTTACTTGAATCCACAAATTCATGTACCGACAAAAAGTTGTTTTGTCAGGAAACCAAGAAATTTGGGCCCCACGAAAACATCTGATTTCACAATAATATCAATGTAACTAATATATAGTATCAACATAGTAGACATGTATGATATCAATAGTTTATATAGGAATGCAAGATATAATGTCAATATACAGGTATGATACAGTTAAAGTATGGGCTTTACATATAGCAAATTTCTAGTTCCAATAGACTGGGTCTAATTTCTAGTTCCAATAGACTGGGTCTAATTTCTAGTTCCCATAGACTGGGTCTAATTTCTAGTTCCCATAGACTGGGTATAATTTCTAGGTCCCAGACTGGGTCTAATTTCTAGTTCCCATAGACTGGGTCTAATTTCTAGTTCCCAGACTGGGTCTAATTTTTAGTTCCCACAGACTGGGTATAATTTCTAGGTCCCAGACTGGGTCTAATTTTTAATTCCCATAGACTGGGTCTAATTTCTAGTTCCCAGACTGGGTCTAATTTTTAATTCCCATAGACTGGGCCTAATTTCCAAGAGAAAGTTGAAAGAAATAGGACTGGTCAAGAAGAAACAAGAATTTGCTTAAGCTGAGAAAATCACAGATTTTAACTGTTTCAGTAAAGTCATGCAAGCTATTTTTAAATGCAATATTAATTGCAAGTTGCATCTGCATTTCCACTAATGTCTGTGTTGATGATGACCTGACTGATAATCTGAAGATTAAAAGCTGAAGTCAAAGACAAATTCTGCCCCTCCCACCACCTCTCCCTCACCACCTGATGGGCAGATCATTTCCGTAACTAACCAGAAACTGTTGTAAAGGGGTTTTAGTTTTTTCAGATTAACTCCCTGGAAGGGATGACTAAATACATCCTTTCCCTGGAGAAGAAGTATGATAAATGATTCTATCAATGCTATAGACAGTATACATGTAAGTATATCAATATGTTTTAATACAGATGTAATACATATCTGTATATGTCACTAATGCCATAGATCTAGAGCAATACTTTACATAACTTAGAGCTTTGACAGCACTAGTACCTCCAGGAAACAGAATCAAAAGGTGAAATTATAACCTTAAACATGTTTGATGAAATATTGGAAATTGTTGTTTTAACAATAAAGACAGCATTGAAGATAAATAGAGCGATTACCGATGTTACATCATCAACATTCAAATCGTTTTAAGGAAACTATAGCGATGTCTTCACTGACAGAAGTTATCTACTATTACATATACTTAGGTACATTGACAGATTTGATCTACCGTAACCAATATGGCACACTTTGATACATATCTACCTGTCAAGTACAGTTAAATAGGCAACAAAGGTTTAAAATACATGCCGTGTTTGTTTTTGGTTTTTTTTCACAAAAAAATGTCATGCGATTCACCAAGATATAATTTACTTAGACCAGAGGTCTCAGAACTGGATCAGAGGCATATTGTTCTACACGTGTATCGCTGTATCAGATAAACTTATGCCTAAGGAATTTGTGACAAAGACGGTCAAATAAAGGTTTGACAGACACAAAATACTGACAAACATGCTACACACGATCAAACTATCTGTCCTAGGAGAATACTTTGACATGTAAAACTATACAATCTTAGGTGTTCCGGAGTTACCTGTACAGGTAAATAAGACATACCTGGTATAATGAGTTTGCCGCGGGCGTCAATCGTCCTTGATCCCCCAGGAATGACCAGGTTGTTACCCACCTGTCTGAAATTGACAGAATTATTCTGGTTATCTAAACATATCAACTGGACAATCAAATTATATTAATTAACTCAACAATCTAGTGTTTATATCACTAGCTAGCGCAGTATACAGATATCAGGTGTAACATTATAATGTTATATTGGTTATGTTACATTGTATGATGATATTTGTTACTGAGTTGACTTAGTAACAGCTTGATGACTTTAACTTGTAACTAGTTTTTTTGTTTGATGACTTTAACTTGTAACTAGGTTTTTTTGTAACTATTTTTTTCTGTTTCTTTGTGTTTTTGTTACTGCATGCTGTTTTTGTTACGGCATAAAGTTCGTTTCACTGGCATTTTATTTTACACTTTGAATTGTTTTTCCGTTTCCAAATATTTCATACATTATGAAAGTAATATACACTTACTTGATAATTCCATCTTCAATATAGACATCGGCATCAAAAGAATGGTCATCGTTCACTATTCGTCCACCTTTGAGAAACAGTCTTGACTGTGCACTCTACAAAATACAAAATTGAGCAAAAATAAGTAATAAGGTCTAATGATTTTCACTATCACATGCATAAATCTATATATGGCCAGGTCAGGTACACCTGGTATCAGTAAATACAGGTATGCAGTACCTAAGTATAATTAATTCAGGTAAATTTATCCTAAGGTATAATTTAAATGAAAGACAGTCAATTATTCCCTTTCATCCGGTGTCAGTCAGCGCTGAATTTTGATGGAGTGTTCTTCAATATTTATAAGAAATTAAAAAGTGTGAATGAACATTATTTCTAAAGCATAAATGAAATTGATTTCCATAGGTCACAAAATGATATTGATATATGTGCTTTAAATTAAAACCCCTTTCCATATATTCTGAGTGTACTTGTATACTGATGTACATGTTATAAACACTTCATGTACAACACCACATGCTGCCTTGCTTTTTATTAAGACACATATACCCAGTATCTATCAATTACTTGCAGTGAGTTAATTTGACAGGCTCTTTACAAATATACATTATAAATATATGTATAAGAGTCATAAAATGTATACCAGTACATATATTTACTTAATATGACTGAGGCCCCTTTTCAAAGTCAAATAACACACATAATGACCCCATCTTTTTTAAAGGTCTTATTTCCACACAGGAGCTGTGAAAAAATAGTTGTACAGAAATTATCAATAATATTGATCAGGTGAACCGAGGTGAAATCTAAAGACACCATCTGAGTTATTGTATACTTAAGGGGCAACAGATGTTGCTGATCTATTGACATACATCACCTATTGTAGTTATAATACATATATATATCTCACATAAGGTACATATGTAGTATTTGTCCTTGAATACAACATGTGTGCAACCAGTTACTGTTGGTGATTTTATATAAACGAGAACTGTTTACCAACAGTGTAATACTCTGTACAAAGTTTACACCTGTCTAACGAGAACTATTTACCAACAGTGTAATACTCTGTACAGAGTTTACACCTGACTAGAGAGAACTGTTTACCGACAGTGTAATACTCTGTACAAAGTTTACACCTGACTAACGAGAACTGTTTACCAACAGTGTAATACTCAGTATGTAGTTTACACCTGACTAACGAGAACTGTTTACAAACAGTGTAGTACTCAGTATGTAGTTTACACCTGACTAACGAGAACTGTTTACCGACAGTGTAATACTCTGTACAAAGTTTACACCTGACTAACATGAACTATTTACCAACAGTGTAATACTCTGTACAGAGTTTACACCTGACTAACATGAACTATTTACCAACAGTGTAATACTCTGTACAAAGTTTACACCTGTCTAACGAGAACTATTTACCAACAGTGTAATACTCTGTACAGAGTTTACACCTGACTAGAGAGAACTGTTTACCGACAGTGTAATACTCTGTACAAAGTTTACACCTGACTAACGAGAACTGTTTACCGACAGTGTAATACTCTGTACAAAGTTAACACCTGACAAACGAGAACTATTTACAAACAGTGTAATACTCTGTACAAAGTTTACACCTGTCTAACGAGAACTTTTTACCAACAGTGTAATACTCTGTACAGAGTTTACACCTGACTAGCGAGAACTATTTACCAACAGTGTAGTATTCAGTATGTAGTTTACACCTGACTAATGAGAACTATTTACCAACAGTGTAGTACTCAGTATGTAGTTTACACCTGCCTGGAACTGGCTTGTTCATTCCTACCACAGACCTACATACAATGGCTATAGTTCTCTAAAGTGCTGACCTTGCCATTATGACGAGGAAGGACAACTCACTATGTGTTCCTTACACAGACACCACCAGTCCTTGCACTGGTGTTCTTCTCCCTTCCCACACTTCTTCTCACCAGCCCCGTCCTTAACACTGCCCTCAGCTTCTGTAGCAGAGTCAGTATTAGCCTTGGGAGTGCTTTCTCCCTCGGCGATTGTATCCCTCATACCATTGTCATCAGATGTGTCAGCAGCATTAGACATTACACAGCACCCTATACCACACTTATACAGATCTTATCCTTCCTTCAGTTCCTCAACAGTGTATCAATGAATGTTGATGAACATAACAGATGGAGATTATATATGTGGTGCTCTCTTGAACAAGGGCTATCTAATTGTGTAAGTGCATGTGTCCAGAACACAGGAGAATGTCCCTTCTGAATCCTTCCGCTAACAGTTAAACTGCAACCAGTGTGTGCATCGTACGGCGTTGCAATGCAAAACATGTACATCACTGTGGAGTACCAAGTAAAGGCAGGTGCCTTTAGGAATTGATCATGGCTGATCGCTGTTGTGGACTGTAATATCGAAGATGTATTAGTCACCAAATGAATTTTAACGATTTTGCTGCAACATCTGATAGTGTCTGCAAGCTACATGTGGCGCCTTTCACCTCAACGAGTTTCTTCCCACACTTGCAGACAAACCAATACATTCACTAATCAATGACAGCTCAATCAATAATTCATTTCAAACTGTGCATCTGTCTACAAATACTCCCAGTAAGCCCTTTATACCCACAGTAACTGTGCATTTGTCCTCAAAGACTGTCAGTAAGCTTTTTGTACCTACACAAACTGTACATCTGTCTACAATAACTCTAAAACAGCTTTTTCGTATCTGTAGAAAAAGTATTCTAGTTTTTATGAAGAAAAGCACATATTTAATAGTTCATGGTTTAGTCTACTTAGCTCTAAGGGACATCTTGTTGAGATAATGCAGAAACAGTTCACAAGTCAAAATGAAAGGGTAAAGAAAACATTCCGGTTTCACACTAGAGGCTTTATTGTGAACAGGTCATCCGTAACTTGGTCCTGAGGAGTCCTGAATATCTGTTCAACAGGAAATGTCCCGGTATGATTACCCCTGATGTGACTGGAACAAAGTCAGGTGAAAAGTAACATTGTCTATGGGTGACCCACCTCCACTGAGAAAGAATTTGTGGTAAAATATTCCCATTCCCCATCCCTTCACCCCTAGGCAGCCGAAATATCACATACATGTAGAGGACTAGACAGCCGAAATATCACATACCCGGTACATGTAGAGGACTAGACAGCCGAAATATCGCATACCCGGTACATGTAGGGGAGTAGGCAGCCGAAATATCACATACCCGGTACATGTAGGGGAGTAGGCAGCCGAAATATCACATACCCGGTACATGTAGGGGAGTAGGCAGCCGAAATATCACATACCCGGTACATGTAGGGGAGTAGGCAGCCAAAATATCATATACCCGGTACATGTAAGGGGAGTAGGCAGCCGAAATATCACATACCCGGTACATGTAGAGGACTAGGCAGCCGAAATATCACATACATGTAGAGGACTAGGGAGCCAAAATAGCACATACATGTAGAGGACTAGGCAGCCGAAATATCACATACCCGGTACATGTAGGGGAGGAGGCAGCCGAAATATCACATACCCGGTACATGTAGGGGAGAAGGCAGCCGAAATATCACATACCCGGTACATGAAGGGGAGTAGGCAGCCGAAATATCACATACCCGGTAAATGTAGGGGAGTAGGCAGCCGAAATATCATATACCTGGTACATGTAGAGGACTAGACAGCCAAAATATCGCACACCCGGTACATGTAGGGGAGTAGGCAGCCGAAATATCATATACCCGGTCCATGTAGAGGACTAGACAGCCGAAATATCATATACCCGGTACATGTAAAGGACTAGACAGCCGAAATATCACATACATGTAGAGGACTAGACAGCCGAAATATCATATACATGTAGAGGACTAGACAGCCGAAATATCATATACATGTAGAGGACTAGACAGCTGAAATATCATATACCCGGTACATGTAGGGGAGTAGACAGCCGAAATATCACATACATGTAGAGGACTAGACAGCTGAAATATCACATACCCGGTACATGTAGAGGACTAGGCAGCCGTAATATCATATACTCGGTACATGTAGGGGAGTAGACAGCCGAAATATCACATACCTGGTACATGTAGGGGAGTAGACAGCCGAAATATCACATACCCGGTACATGTAGAGGACTAGGCAGCCAAAATATCATATACCCGGTACATGTAGGGGAGTTAGACAGCCGAAATATCATATACCCGGTACATGTAGAGGACTAGACAGCCGAAATATCACATACCCGGTACATGTAGAGGACTAGGCACCCAAAATATCATATACCCGGTACATGTAGGGGAGTAGACAGCCGAAATATCACATACCCGGTACATGTAGGGGACTAGACAGCCGAAATATCACATACCGGGTACATGTAGGGGAGTAGACAGCCGAAATATCATATACCCGGTACATGTAGGGGACTAGACAGCCGAAATATCACATACCCGGTACATGTAGAGGACTAGACAGCCGTAATATCATATACCCGCTACATGTAGAGGACTAGACAGCCGAAATATCATATACCTGGTACATGTAGGGGACTAGACAGCCGAAATATCACATACCCGGTACATGTAGAGGACTAGGCAGCCAAAATATCATATACCCGGTACATGTAGAGGACTAGACAGCCGAAATATCATATACCCGCTACATGTAGGGGAGAAGACAGCCGAAATATCATATACCCGGTACATGTAGAGGACTAGGCAGCCAAAATATCACATACATGTAGAGGACTAGACAGCCGAAATATCACATACCGGGTACATGTAGGGGAGTAGACGGCCGAAATATCATATACCCGGTACATGTAGAGGACTAGACAGCCGAAATATCACATACCCGGTCATGTAGGGGAGTAGGCAGCCGAAATATCATATACCTGTAGAGAACTAGGCAGCCGAAATATCATATACCCGGTACATGTAGAGGACTAGACAGCCGAAATATCATATACCTGGTACATGAAGAGGACTAGACAGCCGAAATATCATTTACCCGGTACATGTAGAGGATTCCGGAGCAAATGAATATTGAATCTTCGATCATACAAAAATCTACTGCCTTTCTCAAAACTACA